ATTTGAAATTTCCATGCAAGAGAGACAGACACCAGCTTATTGTAGCACCTCTGCTACGCAGTATCAATACAAGTCTGTCATATAATGAGTAATATCTGCAATTTCGCCTTCAAAGTACGACAGGATGCATAAGGTGTGACCTATCCATGACAACACCACACAGCTAAAAACACCTAAGAATAAACATAGATAAGTATATCTACTAGACACAGATCAGAAAGTACAACAGCAAGAGTTTGGTAAGTGTATATACCAGCAGAAGGTCAAACTACTGTTTAGACTGTCTCATACCTATGATCCTAAGGATGAGAAAACACAACAGGCATCAAAAACACATCAGGATATTGCATCTACCAACAGTGCCCCACCTGCAGTAAGAGACATAAACTTTGTGGACTCTTCTGTGTCCACTGAAAATGAACTTAGATTTCTCTGTGGACATCACCAAAAGTAAAATCACTCTTTATCTGACACGGCCATAAAAATGTACTTACTTCAGTACTGAAACAAAGCCATATCTGAGGTGTGGGGGCTCCAGACACAGAGAAACCACACCAAGGCACATCCGAACATGGGAGAGAAGCAGAAATGCTGTGAGATTTCTGGCAGATTTGTAGGAGGACCAGAGACAGCACCCACTCCCCTCCAAACGATTCTCTTTTGATCTGGGACAACACATGGAAGTCACCAGCATCCGAGTGTAGAAAAGAAAGGAATTTTCCCTTTTACACTTTGTTTGGTTGCTCCCTCTGCTGCAGTGAAACAGGGAAGAAGTAAAACTGCTGAATAACAGAGTCCTCAATATTGCAGGCACTAATAATAGGATTAGAGAGAGAATAAAGTCATATCTTCTTGGATTTGGAAGATTTGGAAAAAGCTAACTTCTGACTCACTCGCCCGGCAAGTTGAGATCAGGTATGTCATGGTGTTGACCTTCTGAAGAAGGACTCGGATCAGGCCAGCAGCCACAACCGCTCCAGGTAGTTTCAGCCCATTACCTCCTGGAGGAGCGTTAGCAAAGGTCATGGTACATCACAGGCTTCTTTACAGCATGTCAGGCATTGCCAGTGTGCAAGGAAGGGAACCAGGTACAGGGAAGATCAGAAGAAATAGGCACAAAGTGAGACACCCGCACTGTTCCTGCTCTTCGACACGCTTTTCCCAAAGCCGTGCTGCTGGGAAGCACAGACTCACAGTCCATCTGACCTGGGGGGGTGGAATGTCCTAACCCATGAGCAAGGAAGCTGATAGACCCCAGGAGATGCTGAACAAAGAGACGGAGAGCTTCCACTACCCAAGTCAACAGTCTAGAAAGGAGTCTCGACCTTTCCAAGTGCTGGTGAGGGTTATCTGCTGGGTGGACACAAAGGTCCGTATTACATGAGCATGGGTATGATTCAGACTTGGGAATAACTTGCCAAGACCAGACTGACCCCTCAGGGAGGTGAATATTGGAAAAAAAAAAAGAGGCTATTTCCTTGTCAGGCATGGATGCACCACAATTCCTGCTAATTTCAAGGGGACCAAACAGTGTCCTGTCTCCGAAATAAAGATCTCACCCTCCCCCTCCTCACTGCGAAAACTTTTCTTTTCCATGGTTACATGTCTATCTCATTAAGCAGCAAATCTAGGCAACGATCATACAGTGCAAAGGGGAAAAATTACAGTATTGCAACAGGGAAAAGCACAGAATGTGATTATTAAATGGAGTAATAAACAGCAGTTTAAGCATAGCCTCAAAATAAAATGAATAGCATTTTTAAACTAAATGCAAGGCACAATATTCATCATCAAATTGTCTCTTGCCTCAGGCTACTAGAGAGTAGGATCTGGAAAACAGCAGCTTCCTTATTTAAAAAAAAAAAAAAAAAAAACCCCTGGCTGCAGATTTTCACCCCCTCCTCACTGCGAAAACTTTTCTTTTCCATGGTTACATGTCTATCTCATTAAGCAGCAAATCTAGGCAACGATCATACAGTGCAAAGGGGAAAAATTACAGTATTGCAACAGGGAAAAGCACAGAATGTGATTATTAAATGGAGTAATAAACAGCAGTTTAAGCATAGCCTCAAAATAAAATGAATAGCATTTTTAAACTAAATGCAAGGCACAATATTCATCATCAAATTGTCTCTTGCCTCAGGCTACTAGAGAGTAGGATCTGGAAAACAGCAGCTTCCTTATTTAAAAAAAAAAAAAAAAAAAAGCCCTGGCTGCAGCATTTCATAAATCCCTGTTTCAACCTGTTGGCAAATGCTGACTTTTGAAAACAGCAACTGTTGTATAAGTCTTCTTTTGTTCTGAGCTCCAAAAGACACAGAGGGTGACTAATAAAAATAAGGATCGGGATATTAAAAGATGCTTAGTAATATCACTAGATACAAAAATAGCTTTTTTTTTTTCCCTAGAATAGTGCTAGTGAACAACACTAAGTGGGCATCAAGAGACCAGCTCTTAACAGCCATGCACAAAGCAAAAGACTATGTTCCCTTCCATTACTAGAGAAATAAAATATAGTAGAACAAGCCATAAGGCAAAAATGAAAAAATCCCTCCTAAGCTTTCCATTTTAAGCATGGGAAAGAGGTGAGGGGGTGAGGGGCACCGAGCATTAAAAATTGGTTATCTGAGGCGGGGAACATCTTTGTTGTTTACACTGACACCAGACACAGTGCCCTGACTGTCCATAACCAAACAGCCCTCCACAGAGGGTTTTTATGGCAAAGCAGTGCTCACGAAAACATCAACCTTTCCCAGAGCCGTTTCTAAGAGAAGTTTTGCTGCCCCATAGTAATCAAAAGTCCGTGTATGAGTCCTGGCTTCCCGGTAATCATCTGCCCACAGCTAGCAGCAAAGACCACAGAAGACTACTTGCAGGGTGTTAATGTATAATCCCACTAGCCCTTTGACCTTCAGTCGTTTGCTCATGATGACGAGACGATTACCGCTCCGCGCCTCCCTGAGATGCCCCTTGATTATGCCCTTTACATCACTGCAACACATATAAATGGGATTTTGATTCTGCCACTGACATCTGGGTGTCAGAAAGCAAGATCGGATATGTTCCCTTTTTACAGGCATTTTTACAGGCACTTTTATTCCCTCCCTGTTATTACAGAGGAGAAGTTGTGAGATTTAAGTATTCTCTAACTTCGAAGGAAGAAATACACTGTGCGATGTGGCCAGGCTAGTGTCCTGAGGACTGTAGCCATGCAGTGCCTCGGATTAATTAACAGAAGTATCCAAAAGCATCCTCTTCAGTTAAACTTGGTGTCAGTGAGCACTGCCATTAACATGGATCAAACAGCCCCTTGGAGAGAGGACCTGTTGTGATGATAAAGTCAGGCTCCTAAGGAAATTATTTTGCAAATCAAAGCGCTGATTCCAAATACTTGTCTGCATTTTCCTTTTTGATCCTTCATCCTATCAAGCTCCCTTGGGATGAGACATAATTCCCAGGTGATTTTTTTTTAGCATTTCTGCCTAAGGATGGGGCATGAGGTCCTGCGTACCCAAATTCCTTGTTTTCCTGTAGTTTGCAGGAGGAGGACCCTTATAATCCCAGAGGAAAGGTGGGCCCAATTCTGCCTTCGATTTTACACCTATAATGTCAAATTATCTTTCAGCTCCTGCTGATTTTACAAGCATCTGCAGGCAAGCAGCAAAACACAGAATTGGGACCAAAAAGCCCTGTGGTTTTCAAACCAGATTTAACACGAAAGACAAGTACCTCTAAGCCTTTCCTATATGACTTGGTATCAGGTCATACCCAGGCTGTCCCCACAGTATAAATAGGAAGCAGAATTACAACTGTATCATATCACGGGACAAGCTCAAAACCCCCCTATTAAAATGTTTATCATCATTAAAGCCAGCGGCATTTCCAGCCACACGGACAAGGATGATTTTGGGAGGACAGGGGAAGATCAGGACACCAGGCAGGGAGAGCAGGGGTTTAGAGGAGAACAGAGACAGCAGCAGCATCAGCTCTCTTTCTCCTTACTGCTGGCAAAATAAATAAATAAATAAGCAGAAATAGTTACGTGGAAGTGGAAAGAGCTCTCTGCAGTCATTACATAGCAAACACTTACTGCTTGGCTTAAACTTACTTCTTATTCTCTCCCCCTTCATGCTCCTCAGACATGTACGCACTCATCCACGGATATGTGCCTGCACAAGGACACTCCACGGCTTTGGATCTCTTTAAAATGACAAGGACTGACCCCCTGTGCCATTGGATTAGAGCTATTCTTCAGACTCTTTTTCAATGTACCCAGTACATCCTTTCTCACACACGGATGAAGTGAGCATCTCTTCTTGCCTGGCCATCACACCCACATATTTAAGAAGATTTTATATCTTTTTTTTCTCCTTAGAAGGTATAAAGGTTTAAAGCTGTGTTTTTCCAAATTTATAAATGCATATATTCACAGGTATGATTGTGTTGTTATTGCAATGACTTAGTCTGGCTTTAAAGCACTTAAGGTAAATGTGCCAGTTGTGGACTACAGAGAGGTTTCCAGTCTCGGCTCTTCATGCACCTCTCTGATTTACAGCCCTTTGCTGAACATGATGAGAGAGATTTATTTGTGGAGCAGGCAGAGACAGAAGTGCATTGTCGCATGATATTATTTTTTTTTTTTTTAAGGGTTATTAATTACCATGTCAACCTTTGCTCTGCTGCTGCCGCTGCCCACTTTTATTTTGGAAGCACAGCCATTCCACACTCCGATCGCATCGGGTTCCCCCATCACCCCCCTTCCTACCAACATTTTTGAGTGTTATTTATTATTCCTTATGTTATCTGCGTGGAGGAGAGGGACAGTATGGCAGAGATGGGAAACACGAGCCGGAAAACATGCTTGCCTTGAATTGTCATCACCCCGCCGTTGGAAGGAGCGAGCCGGAAAAACTAGCAACAAACACTCGCACGCAAACAGACGCCAGGCACACACCACACATCCATCACGGGGAGTTTGCCAGCAGCCCCACAGCCCTTACCTGGGTTGTCTGGGATCCCTCTGCAGTGCACCTTCCCTCAGATCCCTCTCCCTTGGATTTTTTTTCCCCCCCTCACCGTGGGGAGCAGCGGGGTGGGTGCCGGTGGGGTGAGGAGGTGCCGGTGCAGGTAGGGGATGGCAGGCAGCTGGCTGCAGCCTCGGCTGCCGGGCTCTGGCTCCTGCCAGGGCTGCTGCTGCTGCTGCTGCTCCTGATGATGCCGAGGAGGAGGAGAGCCGTGTGAGGAGGAGGAGGATGCTGGCGGTGATGCTGTTGCCATGGTTACCCAACTCAGCGGCGGCGACAGCGGCACCGCTCAGCGCAACAGCTGCCCCAGCACCCAGATCTCCTGGGTACCCACCATGACCAAACAGCCCTCGGTGTACAGGCACAGATATTTCACCCCAAAGCCCTTCCAGAGGGATGGCGGTGGTGGGGAGGATGGAGGTCACCCCTCGGCGCAGCATCAGGGCTCAGGGATAACAGATGGAGCCACGCAACCAAAAATGTTTGCATTCTGCACTTGTGGGCAAAGAGCTCGCTGCCCTGCAAAGGTCAAACACCAGCTTCTAGGAGGCCTGGGTTTCATTTTTTTTGGGGGTGCTTTGCATTTTTATAAGGAAGTGAACAAAACAGCAAAGCAGAGGAGGGGAATAATTTTCAAAGTTCCTGGTTTTATGCAATTTTAAACTTTTTTAAACTGAAGATCGACCCTCTTTCTTTAAAAAAGGGCTTAAAAGTGGGGTTTTACTGCCCTTTTGTGTAAAGGTGTTTTCTGCATAGAGAAATCCTCTTATAAGCCAGCTGCTTGTGAGAGAGAGAGCTGCCTCAACACAAAACAGTGAGAAAAACCTTTCTGAAAGGACCCCTTTTACACAGCCCAGGACACCAATATTTTCATGCCTAATTGCATGAAGCAAACAAGCTGAACTTTGCCTTTCTCTAGGGATCTGAAAAATAAGAAAGGAAAAGGACCTCAGGTGGGTGGGCTGCCACATGATCAAAATGCAGAGTCCTAACTGAGCGAGACATGTGAAATCAAGGCATTCAGTTGCCATTTATCTATCAAATACGCGTGTCATGAGGCTCTCATTTTGCACGGGAAGATCACAAGACACAGCAAGGTCACAGCAATCAAATGTCACTTCCATCCAAAAATGTCAGCACAAAGCTGCATAACGCTCATGAGCCATGACAGTTCTTTCAAAAGCTGGTACTGTTTGCAGGACACTGTGAAGCCCTGTCTAAAACCCCCTGAAAGAGAAAAATCACTGGTGGAAACTTTCAAAAGGGATTTTCTTCCTACTGCCAGAGCTCTGCCTGCAGCCTGGATGCTGTAGGTGATATGAATCTATGAGCTTGAGGCACCAAGAAGATGCACTGGGTTGTGTCTCCTCTTAAAGTACCAGACCTGGAGAAACAGTTGTAGGAGGTGTGCTGGCAGCACCTTTTCTCAAAGTATTCTAGAAGACAACGTCTCCACAGCATGTTCATTTGAAAAGTTATGTCATGGTAAATATATAGGCATTTTCTGTATATCTCATTACTATGGGAGAACCTGGAACCACCAAAGTAAGGAGCAAAGTGCACCAGCCAGTATACATTGTCAGACTTCCTTAGGGTAGCTTCCCATCTCCCAGTCTCAATGTATCTTATAAAACTAGTCATCACATAAATCACCTGCCTGTAAGTTTTTTAATTAATATCTTTTTTAGGCAACTATTTTGATGTTTAATCAGAGACTATGTGGAATAGTTGACTCCAAGGGTGTTTCTACCTCTCAAAAAAGAAATAAGCATGTTACCTATTTTAATCTTTAAAAATGACATGCGTGTCAAACTAGACAGTACCCTGAACCCTTTCTTGAGAGCTAAAAATTAATATTCAGTGCATGTATGGCCCAGGGGCTTCCCTGCTGGAATTCTGGGTGCAGGGGGAGAAAATCTCATTGCATTAATAATTATGAATGAATCCAAATCACCCACTCCATAACGAACTAGCTGACAGCAAAACCCGTGGTTATTCTGAATAGGTCAGTGAAACCACAGACAGATCTTATTTCTGCTAAATCAGGGAGTCTACTGCAAAATGTGTCTGCTGAGGTACGTGTAATCAGCTTGCAAGCTTATATTTTCCAGCTTTGCTTATTAGGACTGTTTTTTGAGAGCTGCACCTCTGATTTCAAGAACACACATAAGAATAGCAAAAGAGAGTTGGCCTCTTTGGCTTCAGGTGCTTCGGCTCAGCATGGTTGTGCTGCATCACTGAGGATCTGCCCACCTTAATTCTCCTGTTGGCACAAATCTGCAACACTGAGGAAAAATCCACCCCTAAGGATATGCAGAGCCCACTGAAACCAACAGCTCCTCTGCCTCACTGTCTGGACTCTGCCGAGCGCACATCTGCAACCGTGCCAAGGGGTTACAAAGTGGATATAAAGCTCTAACAAAACACAAAAACCAACCAACCAACCAAAAAGAAAAAAAAAAAAAAAGGGAAAAAAATTTCATTTTGCCTCAGTCATGCAAGGAGGTCCTGCATGGTGGGATCAATGACTCGCACTGGTTCACTAGGGAAATAAGCCATGTGCCACATGTAAAGCATGTTGATTTCCTAAGTAGCTATGATTCTATAAAGAAAGGACCTATCACGGCCATATTTGACAGAGCCCAGAGGAAAGGCTGCACTTTCAGTCAGAGCTTTCATTTTTAAGGGTAGAACCTACGTCATATCTTCCAGCCCTGCCTAGGAATTACAGAACCCTTAGGACAATTCAGATGGTACTATACACCTGTGTTTATGCACCTTAGTCATATCTAGATTATTTTCTTGCTTTAGATACTGAAAAGAGGCAAATCAACTTAGCCTAACACAGGTTTCTGAAACAAATCAATTAAATTTTCCCTTGTGTCTCCTTTTCTCTCCTCTGTTGTTAGGAAAGACACCAAGGCTGAGTAACTAAACTGCATTTATCTACAACACCCTGAGGTAAAAACAAATCCCATCCCTAACTCTTGTTTTGAAGAGCTATCCCACCAAAACAGACATCTGAGCTCTGATGGCTGTCAGCAAATATTAAAACCAAAATGTACCTTCTGGAAAGACCTTCTTAGCAGCCACCTTAGCCCCATGGGAGCCTGGGGGTTCAGGAATGAAGAGGCTTGTGTGCCTGTTTAGCTGCTGAATGTTCCCAGACTGACTGAAATCTCAGCAGCACAGACATCCTTGGACATCCTTGGTGTCCCAGAGCCCAGCATAGGCAACAAGTGTCATATTCTAGATTCTTTGTGCAGAGCCTTTAGGTTATTTAATAATAACCTGGAGCAGATATTCCCATTAGGTAGTAAGATACTTAATAGGTGTTCAGTGGTGCAGTCCATCCTGCAGGGCCCACACTGGGCTGCAAATCATATGGCAGGGAGAGATGACAACACCAAGGTTCCAACCAGAGCACCCAATGAGTGGTTGCAGTCAGAGACCACATCCTGGCTGCAACAGCTTTCTTCAAGCTCCAGGACACAGCCTGCAGCACAAAAACCCTGTCATGGTGCACTGTGGATGTGTAACATGCCAACAACGTGGCCAGGGAGCAGAAGGTAGGGCCAAATGCATGCTTCAGGCTAGCAGCGGGAGACTCAGCAGCTCTTTAGTTAATGGACAGGGAAAGTTATGCTTCTCTTTCAATTAACTGAGAAGCTGAATTTACCTCTTGGTTGTGCTGCAGAGTTTCCAGGGACTTTTTCTTTCTGCTCATTCTTTATAATTTCAGGAAAAGGTAAGGTCTAAAGGGAAAGTGTCTGGCCCACAAGGACAGGCAGCACTTTCAGTCTTGGGGCTTTGATTTCTTCTGGATCCTCTGTACCCTCTAGGAACAATTCAGATGGCCAAGACCCTTTTAGGAAGCATTGCACCATATTGCTACAGCAGGGTTTGAAAAACCCTCTGCTGAGACAGGCAACACAGTCTCATATGATCCAGTTTCACACTACATAACAAAGGACCAGTTAGGTAAAGGAAAAAGGAGAAAAATAGGAGAGGGGATCATACGCACACACGCCTTCCATGCAGCTATTTGGTAAAGAATGATTAACTAAAATATATCTATTTTGATGCAGCTGACAGTCAGAGCTTCATCATTCCTGTCCCATCATTGGAAGTGTTCGAAGTCAGGTTGGATGGGGTTTTGAGCAACTTGGTCTAGAGAAGGATATCCCTGCGCATGGCAGGAGCACTGATCTATAAAGGTTCCTTCTAACTCAAACCATTCTTTGTTTCTGTGATTCTAATAAATACAACAGATTACTGGGGAGTACCACAATATAAAGGTGTTTTTTAAATCAATCAGCATTTTTAAAGTCATGAAGCCTTTAAAGTCATGCTGCATTTTCACGTATCATACAGAAGAATTAAAGGTAAAGACTACAGCAGTCGATAAAGAATAATCCCTTGCAGTATAATTTATCATTCTACTAAGTACGTATTTGACACAAAAAACACGTCGTATAATATATATAAGGATCACAAAGACTTGGCTTGCTTTAATAGTTGTATCCAAGAAAAGCTTCAACGGTATAAGCTTGTACTTCTCCTTTCAAGCCCTTACACTTATCCTGTCCTCAAGCCACAGAATCTTCATTCCATTTAATATTTTGTTTCATTTTGCTATTCAATTTGTAGCCCATCATCTTATTTGCCAGTCTGCCAAGTACAGCCTTGTTTTAAATAAGAAAAAGCTACATTTACCCACCAGTTCTTCCCTTACCTACAAAGAGGTTGGAAATCTCAAGATACAGTCTTGTCATTCAGGACTTTGGAAGGCTGCATACTAGATAGAAAACCCAGAGTAAATAAACCAAACACATTTCAAAAGCTTAGTATGATACAAACATCTGATAGGACTTGAAGGAGCTACGGCAGTATTAAGAGTTCTACAACAATTTCTGAGGTGTCTCTGCGTACTATAGAACAAAGTTGTGGAAAAATAACACATCTACTCACAGTGAATCAGAGGAATGAGAGATAAACACATTTGGGACATCTTTAAATTGACCAGTAATGGATACCTACTTAAGCCTGTCTTTCTAGGGTCCTCTGCAAAATGCAGTAGTTTGATTTG